CCGAATTTTTATGTCAGAAGATATTAAAGAAATTTCTTCAAATATATTAAAACTTGAATCTTAGAAACGGAAAATAAAAACGTTATAGTTAAAATAACTTTCTACGATCGAGGCTAAAGTCCTGCCACCAAAATCTGGGAAACCCTGAACATAAATCTTCAGAGACAAGGGAGAGACTCTCTCTTGTCTCTGGGTATGTTAACAAGTTGTTTATTGAAGCTCGTTCTAATTAATATATAATACACAAGCAACAGCATGTCAGCAATCAGAGACACATCATTTACAATACAAGTGTAATGTTTGCTCAGTACAATTCGATCAAACAATACATAATCCAGGTTTAATCTAATGATGGTGAATTTCTTAAATCAATTCAATTTACACCCACTCAAGACTTATACTATATACAGGGTGGCCCATCGAAAACAGTCCAGCAAGGTTTACGGCTTTGAATGTAAAAATTAAAAAAAAATCTTTGGACCCGTATACTTATATTTTTAGGGGGACATATTTACACATTAATTTCATCACTGTATCTTTAACCTCTTAGTGGTGGAAGCATTCACAATTATTTTTCAAATGGAAAGTGGTATGTTGTCATACATCTTTTGAAAGGGCATTAGATTTTCTTTAAAATATTTTTTTTAATTTGAGGTACCTACGCGTCTTTAGCAATGGAATTCTAAACATTTTACAGGACCGCTTATTTACAAATCTCGGAAAACACAAAATTCGTTAAAAAATTGTTTTTAAACTTACAAATATCAGTCGACAAATCGACTTCAGTTAAGTAGTTGACGAAATATCCACATCGTTATTTCTGTGCTTTTATTTTTTTTCGATTCGATAAAAAATGGTTTATTCTATTGCGGAGGGAGTGGAAATTATTGAATTGTATTTTATGAACAATCCATGGAAACTTTGTTTAATGAGAGCAGGCCCGTTCCTGGGGTATCTGGCGCCTACGTGCAGCATTCTTTGGTGCGCCCCTTTTATATTTAAATATAATACATTAAATATTTTAATTTAAAGCCCTACAATTTAAAAAAATATGTATTTTGCAAAAAGCTGGCAATATGTTATTGAAATTGTAAATAAGACTGCTTATTAAATTACCAAACAAACAAAGTCACAAAAAATATTTAGTAATAAAAATACTCTAAAAAACAAAAAAAGCATATAAACAATATAATAACTACAACTAAAAATTAATTAGTCAAAAATGACTGGTTTTTTAAGTGAAAAAGCATGACTGCAGTCACTATATATATATATTATAATAACTGTAGTCCACAGCAATTTGTATCCCGGACATTTAACAGCTTATTATTATGTAAAATTGTCCCTGAATTCGAGAAGACCGTCAAAAACTATGAAAGTAGAGCAGTTTTTGAAATATATTTAATTGCATATTATATGGAAAATTGACTATATCTCAAAAACTGTTCTCCTTTTTTAACTTTTGACGACATTTTCGTATTCAGCGGACAATTTTACATGGGAGTTGACTGCTAAATGTCCAGGATACAAATTGCTGTTGACCATAATTATTATTAATTTTTAGAGAGTAAGCTCGTTACCAAGTCATGCACTGTGAAGACAACTGTTAAACTTTGCTACCGTCAACTGCAACTTTCAAACAAATACTATACCTACCTATTTGTGTATTAAGAGCGCAAAGTGATATATTGTCGCTCTGAGCGAGAAGTTTTATAAAAATGTTTGGTAATAATTATTGATACCTTTATTATTGGTAACCTTTTGTGTCAAAAGTCGGTTGAAGAAAAAAATACTCATATATTAAGCCGCAAAATGCGCTTTTTAGCGGCTGAAAAAAAGACCGGCATAGGGCTTTAATGCGGCCGACGCAAAGAAAGGCGGTAACCTTTATCCTATCTATGTTTAAGTATTTGTTTATTTTCAAGAAAGTTTATCGTTACAAAGTACTTGATTTTGCGCCCCCAAAATGTTGCACCTGCGTGCGTGCACGCACTGCACGCTCGCCAGGAACGGGCCTGAATGAAAGGCATGCAAATAGACACGTACATCGTGGTTACATCCTGGAATTAGTAGCAAAATTGAATTTTGAAAATTCCGTCAAACTGGTTCAGTGGCAAGTAAAAAATAAAATATGGAATTTTAGTTAAATAAAATTAATTCCTTTATAGTATATTGTGCGACTAGAGGAAAAAGAGGAGTTTCCTCAAAAGTAGAGTTTAGCTCAAGAGCGTAGTGCTTAAAGCTAACTTCAGCCCGTTGGCGAAGTAAAATTTCACGAACCGGTTAAAGTTGAGAAATGAAATGGGTGTTGAATAATATACTATTATTGTGGTCAACACCCGATAAGTGATTAAATAGCATAGGCTCATACAAATTGGCAGTAAACATATAAAAACTTGTATGTGATTAGTGATTGGCCGATTTCATTATTCACTGTGATTTGGACCAATCGGGTTTTAAATTGGTAGAAACTTACTCTATACATTTTTAAATTATTAAGTAACAGGTTATTATAATAAGGTATAATACATTTAATGTCAAAATTATATTACACTCCAAGTAATATTTGAGGAGGTCCATTCCAAAATTCGGCTTATCCACTTTTTAATAAAAATGAGTTTGTGGTGTCTGCACTCAGAGAAATATCAAGTTATGAAAAGCATATGAAATTATATTAATTTAAATAATCGGGTAAATTTGATTCAAATAGAAAAAATTTTAGTTTTACATTCATTTACCAACAGTTTTACAATGTTTTGAAACACTTTTAAAGTGTACCCTCTTTAAAATATATATACAAAAAGAAATCCATTTATTTCATTGCCTTTCTCAAAGTTGTTTCAAAAAGATATGTAATATACAATTGTTATGCACCTATTAATTTAATGGGAAACACCAATGACGCCAAAACATAGATATTTGAATCCCTAATAATTCAAAGGGATTCAAATATGTTTTGGCGTCATTGGTGTTTCTCATTAAATTAAAAGGTGTATAACAATTGTATAATACATATATTTTTAAAATAACGTTGAGAAAGGCAATGAAATAAATAGATTTCTTTTTGTATATATATTTTAAAAAGAGTACACTTTAAAAGTGTTTAAAAACATTGTAAAACTGTTGGTAAATGAATATAAAACTAAATTTTTTTCTATTTGAATCAAATTTACCCGATTATTTAAATTAATATCATTTCATATGCTTTTCATGACATGATATTTCTCTGAGTGTGTACATGTATCCCCCTATACTCTGAAAAGTTCATAACTAAAACTCACCTTATTCCATTTAAAATTCATTTATAAATTGACTATCGTTTCAAAACTTGCCTTATCTATTGGTTATATCATGCCGAACTCTGCATATACGTATGTAATTTTAAATTATTTTAAATTAGAGCCATGCCTTTCTAATCAAGGTATATAAATGTTTTACTTATGCCTATATATTTCGTTTAAAGTATTGTGTTTGCCTGATATGCGTGAGTACGTGTAAGGTTTTTGACATTTTGCTCAAAAACAACTAATATGGATAAGCCGAGTTTTGGAATGCACCTCCTCATTTGTACCATCCATTTATAAATTAAAATAAAGCTATTAAAGATAAACTATTAATTTAAACTATACGCTAAAGAAGTATCGCTAGTAGCGCCACCACTCGGCTGTTATCATCGTAACAAAAGTACTACTTTTAATAATCAGCTGTCAAAAGCTTATGACGAGTGTTTTTGAGAATAAATTTGTTGGATGTATTTCGGGTTGTGTTTTTACCAGTTTTCCAATAAACAGTGTTAATCTGAATGAAGAAATAAATTGCATACAGTCTCTGTAAATATAAATTGTACCTATTAGATACAATATACGTATACACATTTTAGTATTGATTAAAGTGAAAAGTTTAAACATTTCAATTCAGTAAAAATCGTCAAATAAATAAGTCGTCTAAATTTAAACAGCATTTATCATTAAAAAGCATTGATTAAGAAAGTTTTCACTCAACGGTAAAATACGATTATATTATGTTATATAATATTATGTTGCCATGGATTCGTAGGTATATTTTGTTGTTTAAAATACAGTTATCGGCGTTTTTTGTAGAACTCAAATATAAAAATGGTTGATTTTATGTTTGTGCAAAAATTATTTTTTACTAATATCTTAAAAATGTCCAAACTTTAATATAAATTATATTAGGTAAAGTTATCATTAGATAATTCTGCACCAACAAATGTACTTACCGAATTTTATCCTTTGGCAAAACATGAAAATGCAACGATTTAGTTCTTGAATTTTATTTCCAATTAAAAACATAATAATTCACCATGATCCCTTAGATAAAATACAACACTAACGTAACTTTATATGCATTTAAGCGTTGAGTTTCTTAATCAATTATAATAATAAGGAATAATCAATCGAAATCGAGTACTAAAAAAGTTTTTTAATTTTTTCTTTGCAACGTAAAACACAAATAACGTTAGCGATTTAGCTGTGCAATTGAACAAAATTTTTCGAGTAAGACTTCTGCCTTCCTCTCTTTTGTGAAAAAACTACCTATTTATAAATTCACGCAATGCTATCGAAGTCCACCAGAGGGCGCGCGCGTTGCCAAACCCGATACTTCTTTAGCGTATAATATTATTATTAATTAACCTTAAAACGATTTACGGATAATTGTTTTGTATCTAAAAAAGTATAAATATAAACTGTTTAAAATGGATGTAGTTAAAATGCGCGGCCAATACTCATTTTAAAAAAATATTTATACTAAAGAAAATGTTACATACTAATTTCTATTTTTTTTGTTTCAGACATGCTGTGTCGTCTTATACAGTAACATGAAACATATCTCTTCGTCCTTAAAGTCTGACAGTTCACTCTTTCACTAACAAACTATTTCAAATGTGACGACTTTGTCCATGTAAACGCAAACGTATCAAAAAACGTAACTTTAATCTATATCTACCTTTTTATCTACAGTAGTTTTATAATACTTCAGCAAAAATTGCTTCGAAACAAAGAAGAATGTCCGACTACGAGCGTATACGCTTGGTCACGTTAGGTGGCGCTGGAGTCGGAAAAAGCTGCATCATCAAAAGGTTTTTGATGAACACTTACTGCGACAAGTACAGGAGCACCGTTGAGGATCTTTATAACAGGTACACAATTTATGCAGGAATGATTTTAAACATTTAATACCACTAAATATTTTGGAATAAAACCCTTTAAATTAAATAAGGTATATTAATAATTTTTTTCTACTCGCATGCGTTAATACAGGAGGGTATTTCCACGAAACTTTACAAATGTGTTATTTAACAAACTAACAACTATATCTGAAGTCAAATAGTTTAATTGCGACGTAATTTATAACCTTACATTGCGATGCTAAGAAGCTAACATTAAGAATAAACACTGAAGAGTTTCTATACTCGATAAAATGTTCAAATGTCGCACCCGTTACATTTTGAGAAAATTTTATAAAATAAAGTATACAATATTTGTGCATTTAAAATACGTGATTGTTTAAGGTTACTATTCAAGTTTTACACAAAAAATTATTACTATATGCTTTCATCCAAAATTTTACAGTATCAACTCTAGAAGCCAACTTGGTCGCATTTGGAGATTTTCTAAGGTCGCGCACGTTACGCTATTCATGTCAAGTTATAAAAGGTATTCTATACAAGTTTTTATTGACATTTTGTTTGAGTTAAATACCTAATTTTTTATACTATTTTTTTAAATATAATATATAATATACGTATCTTGCTATATTTGAACAAACAATTTATTATCATGAAAAAACGCAGTTTTAGTGTCGCACCCGTTACAATGGAAATACCCAAGAGTAAGGTTATCAAATCATAAAGCCTTTAATTGCATTTTTCTACTCCTATTACGGAATTTGACCGTTCTAATATCACTTTTGTCTATGGAATGACATAGGTATATTCCGTAAAGTGCTACAGAATGAAATATTCTATCATCTGATTACAGAAAAAACACTCGTGGCGACATCTTTGTTTTTAATATCTAACAAATTTAAGACCGATCCAACCTCACATTCTTCCAATGAAATAATTTTGTTATGGTATTTTTTAGAAACATAGAAAAAGTATAGTCTGAAACACGTTTGGAATTGCATATTCCGCTTTCGTGAAACCGTCAAACTAGCCTTCGGCTCGTGTGACAAACTCTTCACTCGAGCGGAATATGCTGTATTCCAAACTTGTTACAGAATATACTATTCTAATTAAAAACAAAAAGTTCTTTTGAAATGTTCAGCGATGTGAAAATACTCCACAAAATCTTTGGAAAACCAATATATTAATGTAAACTCTTCTGCTACTGAGTAATGTTTACATATTTTATGATTAATTTAATTATTTAAGTAAAATGGTTTTATTACACAATATTGTAAGAGTTATAAAATCTTAACGATCGTTTTTCTTCTTCTATTTATTGATTTTAACTTCCAACAAACAAAACATCATTAATTGTTATTGCAGGGAATATGATGTGGGCCACACAACGCTCAAAGTCGACATTCTGGATACTTCCGGTGACATGCAGTTTCCGGCGATGAGAAAATTGTGCATAGCGACTGCGCATGCCTTCCTTTTGGTCTATGCAGTCACTTCAGCGCCATCTTTCGAGTCTATAAAACAATGCTTTGAAGAAATCAAGGAGCAACGGGCCGATTTTCAAGAAATTCCCATCGTTTTTGCCGGTAACAAGCTGGATTTGACTTCCACTCACAGAGAGATTTCCAAAGAGGATGTTTCTGAGTGGGTGCATTGTGAATTGCCTAAACTAAGGTAACTATAGGGCCATATTATCCATTGGGCGCCACGAAAAAATAGGCGCATTGTCCCCAACCAACTTAAAAATAAAAATAAAAATTGTTACCATATGGTTTATTTTTCCCAAAAATAAAACAAATAAACAATATACAACTATGAGAACGGTAGAGCACCGAATATTCTTTAATGTTTTTATTATTTTATAAAACAGCGGCTTCCTTTGTAATAACGCGGTATAAAGCCTCACATAAAACAACAGGGAATAATATCTGTTTTACATTTTTTTAAATACTTACTACCCAAGTAGCACCACTGGTTAAATTATAATATAATAATATAATATAATTATAATAAGTGGGGAATTTAATTATTTAATTAACGTTATGTTAGTTAAACTTAACTTCTTGGTTAACTTTGGTTAAAAAGAAGTTAATATTTTAATATTTGATAGTTTTTGGTTTATTTTACCCATTTTTGAACTACTTTTTAACTCTTAAGTTTATTTAAACTACCTATATTAAATATATATGTATAATGTAGCGAGTACCGCTCTGGATATCGGAGTGATGACTCATCGCTGATGAGTCATCGCCGGTGAGTCACCGCTGGTGAGTCAGCGCTCGAATAATCGAGAGTGTGGAGCTCGCTGGAATGTTCCAGAAGACCTAGGCGCTGAATATATAAGAGCCGCACAGAGTAGTCAGTTGAGCTTTGGTACTCGCGAAGAAATAAATAAATATAAGTGCAAATAAATAAACTAGTAGTGATATAAATAATTAGTAGTTAAGTGTTTAGTTAGTTTTATAGTGTTTTAAGTGTAGTTAAGTTATTAAATAAATAGTTTAGTTCGTTAATTATCCAGTGCGTGTTTTAATTCACACTACGAACAGTTAAAAACGTTACAATTGGTGTCAGAAGTGGGATTAGTGTGAAAGTTCGCGAAAATGGTTTCGTTAATGGACTTAAAAGTGGCGGACCTTAAGCGGGAGCTAGAAGAAAGGGAATGTGATACAACTGGGAAGAAGAATGTGTTGCAGCAGCGCCTTCGAGAAGCGTTGGAGCAGGAAGGTGAAAATCCAGATACGTATTTATTTGAAGGCCCGTGTGATATGCATTTAATGTTGCAAAATTTAAACGATTTAAAACAGAAAATGCTAGAAAATTCTAAAGAACTAAAAGTTGACTTGCAACAGAAAATGTTGGAAAATTCTAGCGATTTGAAAGTCGATTTACAACAAAAGATACTGGAAAATGTCAACGATTTAAAGGATGATTTGCAACAGAAAATGCTGAAAAATTCCAACGATTTTCAACAGAAAATGCTAGAAAATTCCAAAAATTTAAAAGAATATGTGGAACAGAAGATTATAGAAAATGCCAATGAATTAGAAGAGAAAGTAGGACAGAAAGTTGACGATGTAAGGATGGAATTGAATGACGTAAGGAAGGAATTGGATATGAGAGAAGAAAAATTAAACGAGAAATTGGAGGTCAAAATTAGAGAAATAAATAGTAAACTGAAAGCTGTAAATTTACCTATGAGCAGTGCCGGAGGGAAGCCGAGTACGGATGAAACCACCTCAGTTCGATGGAAAATCTTCTTGGACAAATTACATCCGTCAGTTTGAGGCAGCTGCAAAAGCAAATGGCTGGGTACCAGAGGAGAAGGCTACAGCATTAACTCTTGCTTTACGCGGAGATGCAACGGACATCTTGCAGACACTTTCTCCAAACGAACAAGAAGATTACGAAGCCTTGGTGAAACACCTGGAACTGCGATATGGCCAGACACATCTGGAACATGTCTACCATTCCCAACTAAAGAACCGCTGCCAGAAATCAAACGAGACTTTACAAGAATTTGAATCTGATATTGCACGCTTGGTCCGGCTAGCCTATCCAGCTAATCCAACAACCGTTATGGAACGATTAGCGGTTCAAGCCTTTTTGGATGGACTTCGGGACAACGAAACAAGACAGGCTCTGACGTTGGCTCGTCCGAGCCAACTGGTTGATGCATTGGCCCGAGCTTTGGAATTCGAGGCGGCAAAGCAGAGCTGCAGGAGCCAGCCTAGAATTAGGAGAGTCGAGGAAGAAAAAGAGGAGGAACCCAGTATAATTGAAGAAATCAGGCGAGTTCTTAGAGAGAATCTACCAGAAAAGAAGGAAATCCGGTGTTGGAGATGTGGAAAGCTTGGACATATACGAAGTCGTTGCAGAAAAAGCCTGGAGGCGCCGACTTCATCACAGTCGGAAAACTAGATAGGGTCGAGGAAAAGGGGCCACCGTCGACCTGTAACCAGTATGCCCCAGAAGATATTGAACGTGTTGCATCTCTTCTACATCAGTCCAGCAGTGTTTTTGTGGATGGTTTAATTAATGGAAAATTACATGTGCTGCTGCTGGATACAGGTGCGACGAAGACAATTATTAGGCCAGATATTGTCGAAATGTCCAAGATCAAATGTACTAATCGGCGACTACGTACTGCAACAGGAGAAACCGCTACTGTTCGTGGAGAAGTGGACATCACGATGGTCATAGGAAATACGAAATTTAAACATCGAGCATTAGTTGCAGATATTGAAGATGAAGTTATTGTAGGCATGGACATTATGAACTCTATAGGATTTGAACTGGACTTTAAGAAAGGAATATTAAGGGTAAATGAAGAGGAAGTCGTGTTGCATCGATCTAAAGAGAAGAATATTCGTGTAATGCTAATAGAAGATGCTTTGATACCGGAACACAGCGAGATGATATTGAAGGCTTTCTTGGACTGTAAATCAGAAGATGGAAGTATAATGCTTTTGGAGCCGAGAATTGATGACAAAGAGGTCGGTCGAGGAGTTATAGTAGGGAAGACTTTAATACGCGTCAGAAAAGAAGTGCCTGTAAGAGTATTGAATGTTAATGGTTACTCTGTGAACTTGAAGAAAGGAATCGTTTTGGGAAACTGTTCTTCAGTTTCCTCGATTATTAGAGGCATTCGTGAGTCAGCAGTTCCGGCCAAGAAAGTTAGCAATGAATTGATGAATCTTCTGTCGACTTCTTCAAAGGATTTAAAACCCAATGAAAGGATAAAGCTGAAAGAGCTGATTCACAATTATCAGGATGTCTTTGACGACGGACAAGGAAAGAAGGGTAGGACGAGAATTGTCCAGCATAAAATTAACACCAGTGATGCACAGCCCATTCGACAGTCGGCAAGAAGGCTACCACTTGCCAAGCGAGAGGAATCTGATAAAATTGTGCAAGAAATGGAGAAGGAAGGGGTGATCGAACCATCCAACAGCCCATGGTCTTCCCCAGTGGTGTTGGTTAAGAAAAAGGATGGATCAACTCGATTTTGCGTCGATTTTCGTCAGCTGAACAACGTGACGAAGAAGGACAGCTACCCTCTACCTAGGATCGATGACACCCTGGACACATTGGCTGGATCGCAGATATTTTCAACTTTGGATTTAAAGAGCGGTTATTGGCAAGTTGAAATGGCACCAGAAGATAGAGAGAAGACAGCGTTTACCGTAGGTGCAGGACTGTGGCAGTTTACTGTCATGCCGTTTGGACTATGTAATGCCCCTGCAACTTTTGAAAGGCTCATGGAAATGGTTTTGAAGGGACTATCCTGGAAGACATGCTTGGTGTACCTTGACGACATCATTGTGGTTGGAAAATCATTTGAGGACCATATGAAGAACCTAAAGGAAGTCTTTCAGCGCTTAAGAAGTTCCGGCCTGAAGCTAAGCCCGAAGAAATGTAACTTGTTCCAGAGGGAAGTGCAGTATTTGGGCCATGTTGTTTCGAGTCAAGGAGTGGCAGTGGACAAACAGAAGGTGAAGACGGTGCGGGAATGGCCAATACCGAAGAACAAACATGACTTAAGAAGCTTTCTTGGATTATGCACCTACTACCGTCGGTACGTACCAGGATTCGCAAAGGTTGCTAAGCCTTTGACACGTTTAACAGAGGGAGAAAGACGATTCCAATGGGACGACGAATGCCAGGAAGCCTTTAAGAACCTGAAAAACGCGTTGACCAGCTCACCGGTCCTAAGTTATCCTCTTCCGGATGGTGAATTTATTTTGGACACGGACGCCAGCAATGTGGGCCTGGGAGCTGTTTTGTCGCAGATTCAAGAAGGAAAGGAGAAAGTTATTGGATACTTCAGTAAAACTCTATCGAAACCAGAGCGAAATTACTGTGTTACTCGACGCGAGCTGTTGGCAGTGGTAAAATCAGTCGAACACTTTTACAAGTATCTGTATGGAAGAAAATTCTTGCTAAGAACGGATCATGCTGCCCTAAAATGGCTTTTGCAATTCAAGAATCCTGAAGGACAGGTAGCAAGATGGATTGAGAGACTACAGGAGTTCGACTTTGACACAGAACATCGGGCTGGGATCATCCATAGAAATGCTGACGCCTTGTCAAGAAGACCGTGCCCGGAAGACTGTAAACATTGTCTCAGGGCCGAAGAAAAGGATGTGTTTGTTCGCAGAACTACAATCGTGGATGATCATTGGCAATCCGCTGAGGTTCAACAAGACCAGGAAAGGGATCCGGATTTGAAGCTTATAATCGATTGGAAGAAGAACGACCGTAAACCAACGTGGCAGGAAGTCGCCCAATATTCGCCGAATGTGAAATCGTACTGGGCCCAATGGAATTCCATCATCCTAAGTGACGGGCTTCTAAAGCGCGTTTTGGAGATGCCAGAAGGGGGGGAAGACCGGAAGCAGATAATAATCCCCAGAAACAGGATACCAGAAGTGCTGCAGGAAATCCATGATGGAACTACTGGAGGACATCTTGGGGTGACCAGGACGCTCGGAAGACTTAGAGAACGGTTTTATTGGGTCAACAGCCAACGGGATGTGAAGGAATGGTGCAAGAAGTGCGCCGTTTGCGCGGCAAGCAATGGACCCCAGAAGCGCCCAAAAGCCCCAATGCGACAGTACAATGTGGGCAGCCCATTTGAGAGAATTGCAATCGACGTGGCGGGTCCATTTCCG